AAATTACATAAAATTTCTAGAAGAAGTTAAAGTTTTTTTTTGTTACTGTCTATAAAAGTAGTAAAACCATGTTAGTATTGTTACACGTAAAGAAACAAAAATCTCACGTAAATTAAATGTCTTGTGAAATTTGAATACGCTATATTAGAAAAAAATCATTTATTTTTAAGAATATACGAGGTGTGTTCAGAAAATGACGGGAATTGTTAAATTTCGCGGGTTCGGAGGGTCCGATTGTCATAAAATTTTCTGCTATAAGTAAAACAAGAGTTTACAAGTGGTACCTATAAGAGTTTCCAAGATGGCCGTGAAGACGTTGAAGATGACGAACGCTCCGAACGCACAAGCATATTAACAACCGATAAAAACATGGAAAAAGTGGAAGAAATGGTTATAAACCATCAGAGAAGTCGCTGATGATGTTGGTATATCGATTGGCTCATCCCATGAAATTTTTTCGAATGTTTTGGGTATGAAACGCGTGGCCGCAAAATTTGTTCTAAAATTGTTAAATTTTGAATAACATTTTTGGCCAAAAACAATACTGTAATGATGCCCCAGCCTCCATATTCGCCAGACATGCCTCTGTCTGACTTTTTCCTATTCCCAAAAATAAAGAGAACCTTAAAGGGCCGTCGTTTTGCAAGCATAGATGACATTAAAAGGCTATCCCAAAGATCGAGTTTTAGAAGTGTTTCGAGTATTGGAAAAAGAGCTGGCACATGTGCATAATATCCAATGGGGACTATTTTGAAGGCGACAACATTAATGTAGACGAATAAATAAATACTATTTGTTTCAAAAAAAGAAAATTCCCGATATTTTCTGAACACACCTCGTAGCTAGTTTAGTAATAAAAGTACGCCAAATAAAAGATACATTTATTTAAAAAACGGGTATAAAATAAAAACAACTCAATTTTACGTTTTTTTGGTCGTTAAACATGTCAATGTTTTTGGTTCTTTTATGTTCAAATGACAAAAATGTAAGGTCTTTGATGCGGCATGGATCTTTTTTGAGGTCTTTCACTTATGTCCATACAGGAAATTTGATTTGCAAAATGATGAACTGTTTTTAAATTCTCTGTAGGGGAAACTCAGACGTCTGCTGGGGGGCTTAGCCCCCTTGGCACCCCCTGGCTACGGGCCTGCACGCCATTATAAGTGTCATCCTCCCTATTTATTAAAAACCACTTACAAAGAATTATTTCTATATGCAAAGAATAGAACACAACGAAAACTTAAATACCAAATACGGTTGTCTCTAGTTTAAGGTTATTTTTACTTGACAGTTATGTTGACGCTAATAATTATCGCTCCGAACGAGCGATTTTTAGGAATCGGTCACGTGACTGTCGCTGGTACCAAGTTTAAATTTTTTTCACGATTTATTTAGAGTACCTACACCGAGACCTACACCCACAAAACTACGATTTTTCTTTTGGTAATACTTCAAGAGTTGTAATTTCACTTAAAATAACGTCAATTCACAAAGAATGTTCATAGAGATTTTTTAAATGCATTTTAAGTGAGCTTGGGTTCAGAGCGTGCTTAATGCCTTTTTCTCGAGATGTATAATGTGTCCTTGAGTGTGACCTCATGGAACGACCTTACTACGAGGTTTACAAAGTGCAATTGTTCGGCCTTATCTCACTTTAATACTTCCCTTCGAGCATTTTTGTTCTCTTCGGATTCTTTGAAAAACTCTTGAAAAAATTTTGACAGTTACGATTAATACAAAATATGCTACGATCTTTTTCGAAATTTTTCAAATTCCTTTGGGTTAAATATGCTTGGATAAACTACCGTTAATGGCGCTTTGGAATTTTTGATTTAAACTGCCCACAGCGTGGGCCCCACACTGTCATAGCTGCTAACATTCCAAAAATTATTGTCACTACTATCTCGATAAGATGCTATGTTAAGGTTTAAGGTTAAGGTTTATCTTAGAAAGAAATTTCAATGTTTTTTTTTATTGTTATAGAGTATTAGATTTTAAACAAAAAATTGTCAAGGATATAGGTACCAACAAAAATACTGTAGGTACAATTAATTCCATTGAAAAAAGCACATTAAATAAATTACCCTAAAAATTTTATAATAATCAGGTCGCTTTAAAAAAGTGGTAATTTTACCGGTATACTCTAAAAATTACACAAGGTTTTTATACATAACTATGACAAATCAGCACTTTTTATATGTCAAAAGATGATTTTCTTTGAAAAAATTTTGTTTATTCAGATAAATACTTATTAAATGAGTAACCACTTAAAAGGAATGTTAAATAGACTATATAAGAAGAACGGAAATAAATAATTTAATTTTACTGGTCCTAAAAACTACACAAATTTAAAATAGCTCCCAAGTATGACATAATTTCGATAATTTTACTGGTTAAAATCAATACAGTACAAACGCAATCCATTAAAATAAAATTCATAGAAAGCTGATAAAAGAACACTTTCACAAGGAAAATCATTCATTGAATTACTCAAAACTGGTCAACTAGAAAAATTACACGTTATCGAATTCCAAACGCAAAATTGCAAAATTAGGATCTACAATTTGTAATTTCGATATAACACGTTTTTCCTACCACTTAATGGGTTAAGCCTGTATATTTCTTCGAAATAACGATTAAAAGTTTAAGTACTATTTTAAAAAGCAAATCTTATTTTCCCCGATTTTTCTTAAAAATTTCAGCAATTGAAAAGAATAAATAGGGATTAAAAAATTTCAAATATTAAAGCTTTATAACTTTTAACCGGGCAAATTTGATGAAATTTTCAGGGTATAGGTAGGTAATTACAAAACTAAACTTAAAAAAATCGTGTCCAAATTGTAGTATTTTTAATTGTACACCCTAAAAATCCGCAAAACTAAATTTGACATTTAGGCGCCCAACGTGTAAGGTATAACAAAAAACTCCATACCTACCTAATTTCTACAAATTGTATCCAAATTTTAAACAAAATTTCAGGGTATACTAACAAAACAACGCTCTTTTTAAGGCAATACCTAAACAGTTTTTTTACAAAACACCTCTCTTAACTTAAGGTTCTTAAGAAGTGATTAACAGGCCGTTTAAGTCAAAATTCACATCGCACCCAAAATGTATGTTTAATTTATATTCAAAGGTGTTTATTTTTAGATTAAATTTGTGTCCCGATCCCGGTTAGACCGCATGGCGACTGTCTAAAGACAACCACCGTGTAATTTTATCATCGAATTTATTAGCGAATATTTTTAGAATGCATTCCTAAATGTGCACATACCGTCTCTTTAAATAACCAATTTTCCCTTTTGAGAGTTATTTTATGTGGGATTTGAGAAAAATTAAAATGCATTTGTTTTTATGCATTTTTACACACTTTATAAAAGGGAAATTCGATATAGGTATAAATAGGTATACATACCTATGTTAAAGAAAACTGTTGTCTGAATAAAAACGATTGGTAATGATGTCTATTTGCATTAAATTCTCAGTGACGCACACGGTCGTATTCATGGAAAGATTGTAAATATTTTTAGACATAACAAACCCAATATTTATTTTCCGAGATGTGCATATTTTGATGTAGGGGGCGCGCACTGCGAACGTCCGAATGATTTTTTAAATTCCTCATAATTTTTACTGTGTTTATGTTTTTCTTGAGTAAATGCCATTAAAGCCTAATTTAAAGACACCATGATTTAGCGATTTGTGCTTATTTAAAAAGATTTTGCGAAATTTGGGTTATTTTCTGTTTGTTTTGGGTTTTTTTTGTTTTGGTTTTGAAGGGGTTAGTTGTGGATGTTATTTCTGGGGGTTTTGATTGGTTTTATGGGCTTACAAGCGACCAGATAATGTTATAAAGTGGATATAATATAAATTATGTAGCATTAACTAGTCCACTGGAAGCCCAAACAAGCAACCAAAACGACATTCACAACTAACCCCTTTAAAACAGCTTAAAACAAAGAGAAAATAGTTTACATTTAGCATATATTATAGTTATGGGAGGCAGCATACCTGTCTCTGGGGTCGATCCATGAAGTTTTCTTGGAATTGTGGTCGATAAAATAAACTTTGCCGTCGTAGTCTCGGCCATAGTCCCAACCGTCGGGCAAAGGTATTTCGCCGTTCCTTTTTCTGGGCATTTTTCACAACGAAATCCATTCAAAACTTCAACACTTAGCACACGCACAGACCACATCAACTACTTGCCGCCATCTTGAATACCACACTATCTAGAGGAGGCCGCGAACGTGACGTCACTGAAACGGACCAATCGCAGAGCGTAGAGAGGAATGCGGCGCTAGTTACGCTGCCCGACTGCTAGATTTCGTCTACACTGCCCGATTCTGTGGATTCTACTATTTCTACTGTTTTTTGACCCGCGTAGGTACACTCTCTCTACTACTCTACTACAACTACAGACGACTGACTTCTCGCTAACGTCGACGTTGTAAAACTAACACCAGTCACTGTTCGGTGCATCTATCCAAACTACCTCACTTTTAGCCGTTATCAACTCTTGCCTAGCTTTTTCCTACGCATTCTATCTAGGTTTCTTAAAAAGATGGGATTTTTTGTGCGGTTGGGTTGCAAAAATAGGCAAACAAAACTTTTTGCATATTTTCGCAACCCAACCCCACAAAAATTCCAAACAAACAATTACATTTTTTTTAGTTTTATTTGTATAAAAAAATAATGCATGATATAATACCTATAATACCCTATAAATTTTGTTTAATTCCACTTTAATTAATTATAATTAATTGTCATAATACCTACCTAAAGCTTTAGGTATACCCACAGAGGTATACCCAAAGATAATATTATATACCCAAAATTCCATCAAAATACTATAAATTTTAAAATAACTGATTTTTCCAAAAAAACCTTTGTAGGTAGGTAGGTAACTTCAGAATTTTTATTTATTTATAATAAACCCACGAAAGCTTCCTGTATTTCATCCTTCCACTTACCATAACCACCGCTAGATGTCTCTGATCTCCAAATGTCACAAAGAGGACCACGATTCGTGGTTAAAAATTTGACAGCTGCTTGTTGACAACTCATTTATTAGTGCTTAAAACATATTTCTTATTAGATTGGCCGTTAATTAAACTAAAATGGAAACTTCTGACAGTGAATATTTCGAGAGCGCCGATGAGGATTTTCAGTCTGATGAGGAGAATACGGAAATAATTAAAAGTGATGAAAAAATTATAAAAGTTGAGAAAAATCCAAGAATTGTTGATGTAGAAGAAAAAGTGGGTAATCTGCAGATCGTTAAGGATCAAAATATGAATAAAGATAATGACAATGAAGTAGAATGCAGTTTGGAAAATATTAAAAATGATATAATTGTCAATTTAGAATTTAAGACAAAAGAAAATGTTAAAGAAAGTACTACTAAAAAAGAGGAAAACATTGTTGAAAATTTGTATGTGGAAGGTTCTAAGGTTAGTTCAGACAATTAATAATGTAAATTTGCAATGAATTAAATAAAAAATAAAATTATTAAGAGAGTTGAAATTTTAACATTTATCTATTTATATACTATAATACTAATAAAATTACTCTTTTTTTATTATGTCATTTTAAAAGTCTTAAAATAAGATTAATATTGAAGTTAAACTGTGAAAATTTCATTAAAATCAGACTACTTTTAAAGAAGTGGCAATTTTATCTTGTGTCATAGGTACTCTTTTAAAAACTCTGTAAATTTTATATTATTTTATTGAATTTAGTAAAATGTTCAGGGTATACCTACCATAGAAAAAGGATATACCGAGGGGATATACTAGTCAAAGTTTACTTTGCCTACAGGTTCTTTGCATTAATAATATTCTAAAAAACGTAATTTTATATAGGTTGTGTTCCGTAATTTACTGCCATTACTATCAGTAATTTTACTGTCAGTAGCGAAAAAAGACCGTTCCGTAATTTATTCAGTACTGACGCAATAGTAAAATTGGAACGCGCCTCAGTAGCAGCAGAAAGTGACAATGGTTACGCAAGGTTATGATTTGTGATTTACTGACAATTGACAAACTTTACTTTCGGCACAGCAGAGAACATACATAAAAAATAAATATAACAGTTATAAGAAATATAATGTTTGGTTTATGGCAGAGAAATATGGAAAATGTAATGTTATCGTCGTCCGCGTCGAAAAATGTATATAGGAATAGGAAATATAAAATTTCACTGACACCACAACAATACGCCAAATACCAAAAATTACTCTTAAATTCGTCCGCTGAATACAAATATATAACATTTTCTAGGTAATACCTAGTAGGTAGTTTCATATTCTGGGTCTTTGTATGCGTACTCCCCGGCGACCTGCCTTCGTCACTGCTGCTTGTACTTTCAAGTAATATTTTATCAATAAATATTGAAAAAATTAGTCAAACCTTAGATCAGATTTACAAAATCTACTATTAATTTAATTTTGAATTGTAATTATAATTATAATAGCAGTCCTATTCAGGGTTACGCAAAATAAAATATAATCTAAGAATATAGAATGTTGTAGTTGTGGCACTTGAAAAACTGATTTTATGTGTCAAGTTTCACAAAATTCATAAAAATGCCAATATCTTAAAAACTAAAGATTTTTTACTAAGGTCATGTTTTGATATTCTGATTAGTCATGACCTGACCTATTAGTCCTTCAAAGGATATCGTTGACTTTTGGGACACCCTGTATAATCCAAGGAACCGCTAGGTTAACCGTATGTCGAGAAACCGGTTTTTGACATTCGGCATTGATGACGCAATTTGAAACATTCGCCGCGACGACTATATATTCTTTTTATATGGTAGGTATACCCTGAAAATGCAGTCTTTTTTAAAAAGTTAAGATTTTAAAAACAGACTTTTTCAAAAACTATGGACCGAAACTAGTTTATTGGGTTAATTAACATATTTTAATATTATTAACTTTGTATCATATTTAGTGAAATTTTTAGGGTATTCCTTAGTAGGTACGACGTATACCCTGAAAATTTCACGCAAAAGTATGCTCTTTCTTATATGAAATATATATATATACAGTGCTCAACAATTGCTAAGGATCAAAGTAATATTGTGTGTTAGTTTTGGTTAAAATAAAATAAATTTAAAAGTATGTTCTTAAAGCTTATAAACAATACTGTTTTTGTTTACTGATTTAACGATCAAAATTTGTTTTTTTATAGATTTGTTTTGGGTGTTTTTATGAACTGTAGCAAAAATTTGAATTCGATTTCTGATATTTATTTATATTCCAAGTTTTAGTTCCTTTATATTGAAAGGTAGTGTTGTGTTAGATTTAAGTAAAAAAATATGCCCAGGAGGCGTTTACAAAGGTTTACCGCAACGTGAAGGTTGTAAAAGCTCATTCACATCCACTTAATAAGCGTAACTTAACTTAACTTAAGAAACCTACGTCTGTTAAGTTGTCTGATAACATTAATACCCGCAAAGATCGTAATATATAAGCAAAACCTACGTCTGTTAAGTTGTCTGATAACATTAATCCTTGCAAAGAGCAAGCGCACTGTATACATCGATGTAGACTGGGTTGCCTATCTATATAAAAGTGAAACAACAAGATAGCGCTATAACGTTTTACTGGGCATGTGATTGGCTCACGTAAGAAACGTATTCCCTTAAGTTGAGCCGGACCCAACTTTTAAATACCTTAAGTTAAGTGGATGTGAATTAGCTTGCGTGGAATCGCTATGTGACTAATGGTGCAGCATCATATGTTCAAGGTGGAGGGAGACAACTGCTGCCAAAGATCGATACTGCAAGGCGGAACCCAACATAACCTGCTTTTCGCATTAATAGATTACTGCGTAACGCCACTAACACAATAATTTCTAACCAAACAGTTAGAAGAAGGCTGCACATGACTAGTTTACATGCAAGAAGACATGCACCACATCCACAGTTAACTAGGGAGCATAGGGTAGCGAGTCGGCGGTGGGCCGAGAAATACCGCAACTGGATAATCAACGACAATCAATAGAAAAGGTGTTTATTCACGGATGAGTCCAGATTTCGTCTGTATAATTCCGATGGACGACGTATTTTGGTCTGGAGAGAACGAGGTCAGAGATATAATGGACATGTTAGGGTTGCAGTCCCTGATTTTGGAGGAGGCTCCATCTGCGTTTGGGGTGGAATTTATCTGAACGACCGCACTGACTTGGTGGTTTTGATCGGTACCACAATGACCGCTCAGAGATATCGTTGTTGAACCAACTATCTTTCCATTTGCGGGTGCAATCGGCGAGAATTTTATTTAAGTTGATGATAATGCGCGCCCTCATCGTGCACGCATTTTAACCACGGTATTAATAGAATAAGGTGGCCCGGTTACCAGACATGAACTGCATAGAACATTTTTGGGCCCAAAGAAGAAATTTGGATAAACTTACCTCAAGATTTCGTGAATCGACTGATCCAGAGTATGCCTGCTAGAGTTCAAAGCCCTATTCAAGCTTGGGGTGGACCAACTAGATATTAGTTTTCTTTGTTGTCCCTTTTTTCACAATTTTTAGAGTAAAAACATTTTTATGATTTTAGTTTATGTTACATTATTTGAATAAAGTCACATTTTTGGCCTTGTTTACTTTTTTTTATCTGTTTGGTTGATATATCATAAAAAACAATAAAAATGTAATACCTAAAAACAAAAATATTACAATTGAAATACAACTGGAACAATTGAAATACAACTGGAAAAATTGCAACAAATACTTGTGATCCTTGTTGTGATCAATTGTTGAGCACTGTATATGACATGACAAAAGTCCCAATATTGATGGTATACCCTAAACATTTCATCAAAATCTAACTAATTTTTAAGAAGTTCAAACAAAATGATAATTTACAGATTGCCAAGGATCAAAATATGAATAAAGATAACATCAGTAAAGAAGAAAACACCCTGGACAATATTAAAAAAGATAATAATGTGGCAAACACAGAAAAAATCGTTAAAAAGCCAGAAGTGGAAGCTTTTAAGGATAGTTTGAATGATTTAAAAGAAGAAATAATTGTTAAGAAACCAGTTAAAGAATCTAAAATAGGCAACAAAAAGATTATGAAGTCTAAACCTATTATATGTGAAGAAGTTACAAAAAAAATGGAAGAAAAAGCTAAAATTGCTAAACCAGAAGTAAAAAAAAGTATAGATGAAAATCTTTGGGACGATGATGAAATAGACTGGGCTAAAGAGGAAGAAATATCAAAAAATACTCCTGTATTAACAAAACATGCTCCAAACACTGATAAACTTGAACCAGATTTCTCAAATCTTTGGAAAAATGATGACTGGGTGTCCCTTGAAGCACCTAGCAAAGAACCATCAAAAATCACCCCACAAAATGATTTAGGCTGGGGCAGTTGGGGTACATGGGGGGTATCTTCTATACTTAACACTGCAACTGCAAGTGTTTCTAGTCTAACAACGCATGTTTCTCAAGGTATTAGTACTGTTTTGGAAACTGGCATTGGAGTTCCTGATCCGGAGGAATTGGCTAGGCAACACAGAGAAGATGAGGAAGAAATTGTTAATAATGTTAGGAATATTGAGGATTTGAAGGATGTCAGGGAGATAAATGCTTTGGGGGGATTTGGTTTGGGGAATTGGGTTTCTGGAGTTAGTCATCTTACTAAATTGGTTGAAAGTACAGGTAATTATTAAAAAAATGCATTAAAAAATCCTTTCATCTAGGTAATATGCTCCACAAGTCCTACCTCGTGACTTTAATAGGTTAAATAAGACCTTAAGACACAAAACATACATTGCATTATTTTTAGAAAATAGAATTAAATTAGCTTGACAGAAAATTAAACTTCATTATTTAAAGTCATTTGGTGGGACTTTGATGTGTGGAGCATAGTACAGTTGTAATCATTAAAAAAGCGTACAAGAATTAGAATGAGAGAAAACATATTCTGCATTTTTAATAACCTATAACAATTATGATATTGACTTAAGTCAGTGATAAGCCGGGTTTAAGCAATAATATTATGGTGGCAGTTTTCTCATTCTAATTCTTGTACGCTTTTTTATGAATACAACTGTACGACAAAATTTGTTTTTTTTCCTCCCATGAAAAATTACTATAGATTTTGAAAATAGACTTTAAAAAATGATACCCGTGTCTCGGCGTTTTTCCAGATCACGTCATTTTTTTTAAGTGCGATCCAAAGGTATTCGGCACATATTATAATATTGGGCCAATATATCTTTTGTCAGATTTTTTCTAGCATGGTCCAATCTTGAAACCGCATTGGCCCGAAGTAGATAGCCACCTAGTACTCACTACGTAGTAGGATTTCTAAAAGTGATATGTCACGATCGTGTTATAATCCAATTAAGCCTTTTTTCTAAAATATTTTAAACAAAATGCCACTTCTGCTTTGACCGGAAGTGACATCAACTTTGTTATTTTAAATAAAAACACCCCATACATTTTTAAATTTTTAAATACTATGAAATTATGTGTAAAATTACTGTACCATGTCCTATACCTACCCTAGAAAACACAAGATTTTTTGGTGTTCACATGGTGCAACTAATCAGCTGATCCAACTTGTCTTAAAATATTTTGGTTGGAATGACAGATGAGTTTTATCTTGTGATTTGCGTTTATAATCTATGCGTTTTTTCAATTACATGCCTGTAAAAATAAACAGGCTCATGGGGTTTTTACACCAAAAAATACTTACAACGAAAAAATTTTCAACTTAGTAATTTTTGGTTAAGTTGGCAATCCTAGTATAAAAAGGTCAATTTGGTTGCATCGTGTGAACACCACAGAGGCGAGAAAGTCGCTGCGAGAAGTTGCACCGTCAGACATGGACTTTAGGCTAACTTGAACCTTTATGTAGAATTTAAAAATGTAAAAATATATGGGGTGTTCTATTTTAAATAACAAAGTTGATGTCACTTCCGGTCAAACCGGAAGTGGTATTTTGTTCAAAATATTAAAAAAAATAGACTCAAATGGCTTTTAAATTTCAAATCAATATTTTTCCTTCTCCAGAAACTTCTAATGGACCACGAATGTGAAACACTCTGTACATTAAGTGGTATTTTTAGTTTGTGATACCACTATAGATTCTAAAACAATGTATAATCGTCGAACTTAAAGATCAAGATTTGTTTCCAATGGACCACGAATGTGAAACACCCTGAACATCAAGTGGTGTTTTTAGTTTGTGATCCCACTATAGATTCTAATGTATATTCGTCAAACTAATGTATATTCGTCAAACTAAAAGATCAAGATTTGTTTCCAACATATATTAAATATAATTTTAATATGAGATAAATACAAATGTTTTTTTTTAATCAAAAATTAAAACAAGAAGTATTTTTTTTACCTAAAAAAATAAAAATTAATATTTTCTTTAAGTAAATTTTTTTTGTACTAAGTAAAAACATACATAACAATATTTGAAGAAAAAAAAAGATTTATAACAAAATAGAGAATTAAAAGAATGTATAGGTTAAAATAATAACAATGGCTGTATAAAAGATTCAAAAGACGTGGTTTCGTGAAACAGTACACGGGTACTTTTATTAAACCTTTATTTTTAAAATCTGTTGAAATTTTTCATGGGAGGAAAATCGTGTTGAACTGTGTTATAGACAAAAAATGTCAAATTTTGATAAAATTAATTCGAAAAAGTTGGTTTTTATTGCCACAACATTAAAAGGGCAATTTAAAGATGCCTCAAAAAAATACGACTTTACTATAAATTTTATGGAAAGTGCACATAGTTTACCCTAAAAATTATATTAAAATCGCAATATTTTTGTAGAAGTTATAGAGCTTTTAAAAAGTGCAATTTTAACCCCAGGGTGATAACTTTTAGGAAACAGTTTTGGACCTCTGTAACTAAAATATTCGGATTTTTGTCAAATTTTTTGACCAAACCAATAGATGACTATCTTAAAGAGTATATAGTTTGGACCAAATAAAGCAGGGCACTCTGAACTTGGATACAAATTAAATTACCTGTTTGCAGGTAACTGTTGTCAAAATAGGTTTTAAATGGTGGTAAAATCAACGTATTTGATTTTTTACTTCAATGGCGCTTTATATAAAATCTAACTGGCTAAATTTTAAATGTAATGAGTACCTAACAAAAACAATAACTGTTTTCTACCATGTATGTAAATGTAAAACAAGTGTATTTACCCGGACAACAATCGGGATTTCCTGGTGAAATCATGATGATATCACAACGTGATTTTTTTTGTCACGCCGTGATATCCTGAGTGCATACACATGCTTCATCACAGTGATATCATGTAGAACTCACGGTGTGATTTTTGCAAAATTTGCGCATGCGTAATAGCCCTGCGAACTGCGAATTTAAAACCTATAGTTTGTTACCTGTTGATTCAACATAACTTTTCTCTTAGTGTACGAACGTGGCGCAAAAATCATTATCAAAACACCGTTGGCATAAAAAATCACGACATGATTTTTTATGCTATCGGTGTTTGGGCATAAAAAATCACGACATGATTTTTTATGCCATCGGACATGTTAGGATATTTATTTTTGCGCCACATTCGTACATTGTGAGAAAAAGTATGTTAACAATTGAATTAACAGTTTTTGCGGTTAAATACATTTAATATTTTTTTGAATGTAAATTAACTATTAATTTAAATCCAAAAAAATATTGAATATTTTTATTTAACCACAAAAACTGTTGATTCAATATATATGTAGGTATTCTTTTTCTCTCAATGTACGAATGTGGCGCAAAAATAAATATCCAAACACCGATGGCATAAAAAATCACAACATGATTTTTTATGCTATCGTTGCTTGGGCATAAAAAATCACGACATGATTTTTTATGCCATCGGACATCTTTGGATATTTATTTTTGCGCCACATTCGTACAGTGTGAGAAAAAGTATGTTAACAATTGAATTAACAGTTTTTGCGGTTAAATACATTTAATATTTTTTTGAATGTAAATTAACTATTAATTTAAATCCAAAAAAATATTGAATGTTTTTATTTAACCACAAAAACTGTTGATTCAATATATATGTAGGTATTCTTTTTCTCTCTCTCTTTTATGCTATCGGTGTTTGGGCATAAAAAATCACGACATGATTTTTTTATGCCATCGGTGCCCGCATCTTTGGATATTTATTTTTGCACCACATTCGTACATTGAAAGAAAAAGTATGTTAACAATTGAATGAACAGTTTTTGCGGTTAAATACATTTAATATTTTCTTGAATGTAATTTAACTATTAATTTAAATTCAAAAAAATATTGAATGTTTTTATTTAACCACAAAAACTGTTGATTCAATATATATGTAGGTATTCTTTTTCTCTCAATGTACGAATGTGGCGCAAAAATAAACGTCCAAACACCGATGGCATAAAAAATCACGACATGTATTTTTATGCCATCGGTGTTTGGTCATAAAAAATCACGACATGATTTTTTATGCCATCGGTGTTTGGATATTCATTTTTGCGACACATTCGTACATTGAAAGAAAAAGTATGTTAACAATTAAATTAACAGTTTAACATTCAATATTTTCTTGGATTTAAATTAAATATATATAGTTAATTTAAATCCAAGAAAATATTAAATGTATTTAACCGCAAAAACTGTTGATTCAACATAATTTTTCTCTTAGTGTACGAACGTGGCGCAAAAATGATTATCCAAACACTGTTGGCATAAAAAATCACGACATGATTTTTTGTGCCATCGGTCAATCGCAAACAGCTATGGCATAAAAAATCACGACATGATTTTTATTTCTCACGCTGTGACATCCGGATGATGTCCGTATGAATAAAATTTGTGAAAATCACGTCGTGACGTTCGTATGATTTTCATTTATCACGCGGTGACTTCCGTATGATATCAGTATGAATAAAATTTGTGAAAATCACGACGTGATGTTCGTATGATTATCACGAATGTTGTCCGGGTAGTATTCATTTGTAAAATTTGTGATTTTTTTAATTTGTAAAACTCGTTTAATCATTATCATATTCCCAAAAGTACCATTCATATATAGTAAGAAACATTGTTTTTGTTATTATATACAGTTAAATCCATACATTTTTTAAACAATATAAAGAAATACATAATAAACAAAAAAGATATATTTCAATATCTTATAGTTTTCTTATGTTATTTTTTTACTGCAACTTTTATAGTATTTTGAAAAATATCAGCAGCAGTAGCGTTTAATTTCTGTCGTTTAAGTTTAATATATTGTTAATTTGCTTTATTAATTTGTAAAGGATTACCTTTATAAATTTCTTAATTATTATTAGATTTAAATAACTATGAACCTCACACGTGAATTGTTCATTTTGTAACGATTTAATTATCGATTTCACAATATTTCTTTTCTGTAGATTCTCTTTTAGCCAAGTTTTAATGCGAATATATGCGTATATTAAATTTATTTTTCTTTTCAAATTTTCACTTATATACATATATGACGTGGGTTGAATATTATATTGTTCTAATAGAATAAAACTAATGTTTTGAAAATCAAGTTTTGAAATTTTGAATATTAATATTATTGAAGTTTGTAAAGATATTTTGTACTTAACGCGAGTGAGCTAGTGCATACCCAAACAGCACACAGACATCTTTAAGACATCTTAAAGAC